TATAAAATAGAGATATTTACATTCTATACATAATAAATATTTTTGTATTTAGTAGATTAAACACAGACAACTTTAATTTCAGTGATGAAAAAAATTCTAAAAGTAAAAGATAAAATTTTATGATCTCAATTTTTGAAAATAATTTTGAAATAAACTGATTTTATTCTGGAATAAATCTAGAAATTGCTGAAACTGAAACAGGGTTTCGTTCTAATTTCAAGTGGCTAAAGGAGTGTACTAGATTCACAACGATTTACTAATGTAACGTTTAAAGGATTATGATGTGTATAGGGATGTTAACGTTTTCATTTTTGAGAAAAAACGATCGTTTCGTTATGAAAACGACGACGAAAAAAATTGAAAACGAAACGATCGTTTTTAAAACGATCATTTTTTAAAGTTCGTTTTTTAAAAATTGTCGTTTTTAAAAAGATCGTTTTTTAAAACGCTCGTTTTTAAAACAATCGTTTTTCAAAACGATCGTTTTTATAAAATTCGTCGTTTCGTTAACACTCGTTAACAACGACCTGAAAGGCATCTGTACTTATCATTGAGTAGTTTTTAAGAAAATATCAGGGAGTTTTAGCTCCCCTACAACTGTTAAACTTCATTTAAGACGACATTCAATAAAGTTGCATGTAGTTTTTTTCGACCGTTTTGATAAGCTCGTCGTTTCGTTAACGATCTTTAACGACAACCCTTCGTTAATTATCGTTAACATAATTATCAATATATTTTTTTTTCAAAAACGAACGTTATTTCAAAAACGATCGTTTTTTAGAAACAATCGTATAAAAAACGGTTGCAAATCGTTTTTAAAAAAATGATCGTTTTCAAAAACGATCGCTATTCGTTTTCTAAAAGTTCAAAACGAGTAGGTCGTTTTTAAAAACGATCGTTTTTTTCCGAAAACGAAACGATCGTTTTTGAAAATGAAACAAAAAACGATCGTTTAACAATCGTTTAACGATCGTTTACAAAAACGATTAACAACCCTAGATGTGTACTAATTTAAAGTTTGTAAGATCATAATGTGTACTGGTTCAATGTTTGTAAGATCTTAGTGTGTACTGGTTCAAGGTTTGTAAGATCATGATGTGTACTGGTTCAAGGTTTGTAAGATCTTAATGTGTACTGGTTCAAGGTTTGTAAGATCATAATGTATACTGGTTCAATGTTTATAAGTTCTTAATGTGAACTGGTTCAATGTTTGTAAGCTCATGATGTGCACTGGTTCAACATTTGTAAGATCTTAATGTGTACTGGTTCAACGTTTGTAAGATCTTAATGTGTACAGGTTCAATGTTGTAAGTTCATGATGTGTACTGGTTCAATTTTTGTAAGATCATGTGATGTGTACTGGTTCAACGTTTATAAGTTCTTAATGTGTACTGGTTCAACATTTGTAAGATCTTAATGTGTACTGGTTTAACGTTTGTAAGCTCATGATGTGAAATGGTTCAATGTTTGTAAGTTTATGATGTGTACTGGTTCAATATTTGTAAGCTCGTTATGTGAACTAGTTCAAGGTTTGTAAGATTTAGATGTGTACTGATTCAACGTTTGTATATTCATGATGTGTACTGGTTCAACATTTGTAAAATCTTAATGTGTACTGATTTAATGTTTGTAAGATCTTAATGTGTACTGGTTCAACGTTTTTAAGTTCATGATGTGTACTGGTTTAACGTTTGTAAAATCTTCCTGTGTACTGGTTTAATGTTTTTATGTTCAGAATGTGTACTGGTTTAACGTGTGTAAGATCGTCATGTGCACTGGTTCAACGTTTGTATGATCTAATTGCTTTTAAAACGTTTATAGAACATTATTTGTACTAGATCATCGTTTGTTAGAACATGATGTTTACTGATTCAACGTTTGTAATTTCATTTTACGTGTACTGGTTCAACCTTTGTTAAAATATAATGTATACTGGTTCAATGTTTGTTAGAAAATAATGTGTACTGGTTCAACCTTTCTAGAACATAATGTGTACTGGTTCAACATTTGTTATAACATAATGTATACTGTTTAAACGTCTGTTATAACATAATATGCACTGGTTTAACGTTTGTTATAACATAATGTGTACTGGTTCAACGTTTGTTATAACATAATGTGTACTGGTTCAACGTTTGTAAGCTTTTGATGTGTACTGGTTCAAGGTTTGTTAGAATATAATGTGTGCTGGTTTAACGTTTGTAAGATCATGATGTGTACTAGTGCAACGTTTGTAAGTCCATGATGTATACTGGTTTAACGTTTGTAAGATTTTCATGTTAAGATCTAATTGTTTTTAAAGCGTATTTAGAACATTATTTGTACTAGATCATCGTTTGTTAGAACATAAGTTTACTGATTCAACGTTTGTATGTTCCTTATATATGTACTGGTTCAATGTTTGTTAGAACATAATGTGTACTGGTTTAACCTTTGTTAGAACATAATGTGTACTTTTTCAACATTTTTAGTACATAATGTGCACTGCTTCAACGTTTGTTAGAAGATAATGTGTGCAGGTTCAATGTTTGCTAGAACAAAATGTGTACTGGTTCAACGTTTCTTAGAACATTATGTGTACTGGTTCAACGTTTGTTCGAACATAATGTGTGCTGATTTAATGTTTGTTAGAACATAATGTGTACTGTTTAAACATTTGTTAGAACAGTGTGTGAACTGGTTAAACGTTTGTTTTAACATAATGTGTATTGGTTCAACGTTTATAAGCTCATGATGTGTACTAGTTCAACGTTTATTAGAACATAATGTGTACTGGTTCAACATTTCTTAGAGCATAATGTGTACTGGTTCAACATTTTTTAGAACATAATGTGTACTGGTTCAACGTTTGTTATAACATAATGTGTACTAGTTTAAAGTTTGATATAACATAATGTGTTCTGGTTCAACGTTTCTTATACCTTAATGTATCCTAGTATAACGTTTGTAAGCTCATGGTGTGTGCTGGTTCTACTGGTTCAACGTTTGTTCGAACAGTATGTGTACTGGTTCAACGTTAGTTAGAACAGTGTGTGTACTGGTTCAACGTTAGTAAGAACATAATTTGTACTGGTTCAACGTTAGTTAGAACAGTACCTGTTCAACTTTAGTTAGAACAGTGTGTGTACTGGTTCAACTTTAGTTAGAACAGTATGTGTACTGGTTCAACGTTAGTTAGAACAGTATGTGTACTGGTTCAACGTTAGTTAGAACAGTGTGTGTACTGGTTCAACTTTAGTTAGAACAGTATGTGTACTGGTTCAACGTTAGTTAGAACAGTATGTGTACTGGTTCAACGTTAGTTAGATTAGTATGTGTACTGGTTTAACGTTAGTTAGAACAGTATGTGTACTGGTTCAACGTTAGTTAGATAAGTATGTGTACTTGTTTAACGTTAGTTAGAACAGTATGTGTACTGGTTCAACGTTAGTTATAACAGTGTGTGTACTGGTTCAAGGTTAGTTAGATTAGTATGTGTACTGGTTCAACGTTAGTTAGAACTGTATATGTACTGGTTCAACGTTAGTTAGATTAGTATGTGTACTGGTTCAACGTTAGTTAGATTAGTATGTGTGCTGGTTTAACGTTAGTTGGAACAGTATGTGTACTACTTTAACGTTTGTTTGAGTAAATATTTTTATCTAAAATCCCTCCTTAGGTTTTGTTTGTGTTTTTACATTATGGTTTCATCCTTTTGACACGGGTTATTAGTTACTTCTTCATATTTCTCATTTATATAAGTATACACATATAATGTAAATATAGTAAACACAATATATATAAAATATATATATATATATATAATGTAAATATAATATACACAATGTATATATGTAATACATAAATATATTATATGTATATATACACATATCATTTAAATATAGTAGCACAATGTATATATATAATATAAGAATTAAAAAAGGAAAAAATAAGATTATTTATATTAAATCCTAAAATGTTATATCATGATAATAATAAAATAATTAATAAAAATAATCAACAATTTGTAAACATTACAAGCGAAGATCTTTTTAACCCTATTATTGCTGGGGGGGGGGAAATTTTACCCCCCCCCCTGTAGTTTTTTTAACATAACTTAAAGGGTTTTGGTCTGAGGCTGTTAAAATTTTCTGACTTTTCTGTCTAAAACAGGGCTTTTAAACAAACTGCCCAAAACATCAAGCACACTGCCTGAATGACTACTTTTTCTGTATCAAACTAAATCTTTGTTTTGACCCACTTTCAGCTGTCAGATTTTGATAATTTTTGGCTTTTTGGAAAGCCTATTACATAAAAAAACGAATAGCACAAATTTTGCATAAGTGCTCTTTATGATGATTAATGTCTCAAGAAATTCTGAAGAAAACGTTTAAGTTCTTTTTATTTTGACGAAAAACAGTGTTTATGGTTTACAAGGCAAGAATATCAATGTAATGTTATTTAGAATCTTAAAGGGAGTGCAAGCATAATTCTAAACGACCCTCCATGCAAATAATGGAAAGCACGACTCACATCGATACATCGATATTGTATGCTCAAGTATAAATAACATGACAAAAAGTATGAAGTGACATGCGCATATAAACTGCAGGACAAAGTGAAGGAACATAAATAAAAAGAAAATTAAATTTAGAAAAAACAACAATATCTTCCACAATATTGATTAAATATAAGTTTCAAGGGTACTGTTGTGAATCTGGCTTTGCTACTTTAGCAAGGAGAATTACCTGAAATTACAGTTTTTTTACAGTGTAAAACTGTGAGCTTTTAAACAATTCTTATAAATCTTTATACCAAACAGTTTAATTGTACAGTTATTATTAGAAATTTATCAACGAATTTAAAAATGAGCCAACACAAATTTTATCTGAGACACCCTGACTTATATTTTATATTATAAATATATTATATATCTTGTATATTTATTATTTCTAGTTTCCATTAGTATTCCATTGTCTGCGCTGTGTCTCATATTAGAATTATAATTAAATAATTAATTGTTCTAGAAGTATGAAGAATGGAGATGAATAAAGATGTGTGAATCCAGGGTTTCCTCCCTACAGCCTATTCTTTTGTCCCAGGTCAGGAAAAACGCGCCAAATTTACAGGAAACCGTCTGGCATGGTTTCCCCCTCAAAAAGGCTTGAATAAAAGGGAATACCTTCTTACTATGAAAGCTAGCTAACAGCAACAACAACACATCGTAACCACGTCAGAAAAACAAGTTAACATCAACACAAAAAAAAACATCTGTTGACCTTCAACGAATAAACCGTCATTATAATATGTAGTACTTTATTCTTATACAAGAATTTTCATGATGAAAGCAATGTCAGGATAAAGAACATTTTTTTTATTGTATATAAAATGGATTTTCAGGCTTTCACTGGCACTATTAATGAAATATGTAATAAAAGATAAAAAGAAACTAATGGAAATATAAATGATTCTGATCATACATTCACATCTTATTGTTATATTGTTCTAATAGATTATATAGATAAAATAAGGTAATGGTTTTTAGTTAACCTTATACTTTTTAGGCTTTTTTGTTTAACATTTTTAAAGTTTAAGAGTTGGGGTACTTAATAGGTTAAAAAAATAAACTTTCAAAAGTAAGTCAAAAAATGTAAAAAAAAAATGGCTAAAAGATAAAATCATACGTGATGTAACACATTATTTATTAATTGATTATAATCCATTAAAAGAAAAATTCCTGTATAACCTATAACACACTGTATGGAGAAAGAAATCCCCCAACGGGAATACGGTTCAGGGAAAAACTAAAAACGCACCAACAAGTTAGCAATGGCCAATGAAACCCTAAACACTCAGGTTCATTTGAACTACTAAACACCTTTATGAGCAGCTAGCTTTAGATTAGTCTGTCTTGATTTTATTGTGGAAAACGTGTTGGGTCAACTACATACCTGGTACACCAGACGTTCTGGGTCAACAACATACCTGGTACTCCAGACGTGCTGGGTCAACTACATACCTGGTACACCAGACGTGCTGGTACGAGTAAAGATTAGATTGGTATCCTTATACTGGTTCATCCAGCAAAGAGTACTGCAGTGATAAGATTTTAAGGCAACACGAGACAGTACAATAAATAAATCATCCCTTTCTTTAGTTTGACAAATAAGGAGCATGTCCAAAGACTTTAGCCATGTTTCCCAGAAAAAAATGAACAAAATAGAACAAAACTAGATCTCTTGTTCTATCTGTAAAATCTGTGTCTTTTTCTCACATGGAAAGTGTGAAAATTCTTATTTGATTCTATAGATTTTCTGGGAAAACCAATATACTACAAAATTTGTTCTTTTCCCTTTTATTTCTTCGTTTTATCTTCAATCAAGCTTTTGTCTTAGATTTTTTAAAGTAGATTAAAAATTAATATAATACGGTGTAACATTCTTTTTATTTCTAATCAACGATTTTTGCAAACTAAATTTCCTATCTTTTATCTTACCAACCCACCCACCCCCTCACACTAAACTAAGCTAGCGGAACAAATAGGCCCATGATAGGCCGGGTACTGTAAAAAATCGGGCCGACATCAAATAGGATCGGGCCGGAACATGCCGAGCGTCATTATGGTTGGTACTGTACAAGGGGCTGGGACCCTAGTCCACCGTGCCCTTTACCCCCCTCTTCTCAACCCTTTCTCCACCTTTCCCCCCATCTCATTAAGCTGTCATACGTATATTCCCTCATCTAGCTAGATAATTTTTATATATAGTATAAAGTAGGAAAGTATTTTATTTACTAAACCTGTTGCCTAAAGCATAATTGTTTCTATTTGACGTAATCACATAAAAAATGACATATTTCCCCCCCCCCATTGTCATTGTAATAGTATCTTGAACAATTGTTTTTATGCTTTATTTAATGATTATTCATATATTCTTTCTACCTAGAATTATGTAGGTTTTAGGTAAATTTTAGGTACACGGTACAGTAGGTACAAAGTACACAGTAAAAGGACACAGTACACAGTACAGTAGGTACACAGTACAGTAGGTACACAGTAAACATGAATTAATTTATGCACATGTTGTCTTTAAAACAATTGGGGTTTGAGAAATACCAGATTTGTGTGTTTGTACAATTGTAATTATCAATTCAAACAGTTTATGGAGTTCATGTTTCCAGCACATTTATTTCTTTCACATCTTCAACTTTTTTAAGAACTCAATTATTTTTTTTAAATCAAATCAAACATTGAAATATCAGAAAAATATAAAGTTTTAAAACAAGAAAATTCTTTTAAAAAAAGCGTTATTCATTTTTTTTATATATTTTAAAATGTTGATGGAAAGCTGTGAATAATAACTGATTGAAAATTTTAGATTTTAAATTAAAACAAAAGGTTTTCATTAGTAATCTTTTGTTTTCGTGTTCTAACAACTTTTTATTCATTTCCACACCAATCTAAAGTAGGAGCTTAGGCTTTAGATATTAATGTTTATCTGAAAGGGCTGTGATAGCACTCTAGGACTGTAGGACTGTAGAACTGTAGGACTGTAGAACTGTAGACGTAATTTCGACTGTTCGATTCTCAATAGCTTTGTCTGATTAAGGATGCATGAGATCCTTAAGATATTCATTATCTTTTCTTTCAAAATTGATTGTTTACATTTGTGGTTTCTATTGAGAGCGACTTAGTAATTTCTTCAGGAAACACCAGAGGAAATTGTCAGAATTCAACACTTTTCAAGCTACAAAAACAAAAGCTAAAGGACAGTCTTGTTAAAAGGAATTAAAGACTGACTTGTCTATGTGAGGTGTTTTGTTTGAGATCAATAATTTACTTCATTTATATTTATACATGGGTCTTGTCATCTAGCACAAATTTCAATTTTACACACCCTCAAGGAAGGTTTATATATATTTGTATGTTTGTCTGTATATATGTTAACTATAGTAGGCCAAACGGCTGGACCGAATTGGTTAACATTTTTTGAGGAAACTCATGGCCCATGGGTAAACAAGGGCTAAAAATAAATATTTTTAAATTCCGTGGACAACGTCGGGCACTTGAGCTATTAAAGTATAAAGTATAAAGTATGATGTTGATCTGAGAATATATTAGAATATATAATCTAGCTTCACCACTTAATTACTTGATTAATTCAGACTAGCATTAGAACACTAATTAATATTCTCCTAGCATTTACTATACTTGTATCACACACATTCGAGCCAATTAAAAACTCTAATTATCTTTTGATGCATTTAACTAATCTCAAATTTTCTTGATACAAAAATATAAAAAATATTATTTTCAAAATGAATTTATCTTGTAGCTTCAAAAGTGCAAGGCATACTCTTTTTGGATCTTTTTTTGAAACCAGCTTTGTATAGTATTCTATTAAAAAAATTCTTTTATTGTCACGAACAGTCCCAGAAAAAATTTTGTTGTTCATTGATGTCCTTTATGTGAGGAATTCTTCAATTCCCTTTAATTATCATGAACAGTCCCATTAAATGATGAGTATTTGCTATAGAATGTATGTGATAGTATTTAATAAAGATAAATCCTTTAACCCTCTTTTATTATCATGAACTGTCCCATAAAAGGGACTGTACGCGTAATTTCAAGTAACCATCCATGCAAAGATGGCAATGCACGATTTAATTCGGTACCCTTGATGTACATTTTTAATGTACATTGCACAGGCCACTTTAGCAGAGAAATCGCTAACGGAAATAAACAGTTTAAAGAAACAAAAACATGGATATCTTAGTCATACTTGAACAGGCAATGCTTTAAATGGTACCGTTGTAAATCGGGCATTGCCATGTGTACATAGAGGGTCACTTGAAATTACGCTTACAGTCCCTTTAAATGGTTTATTATTGTAGGATGCCCTATGTGATTGTGCGTGAGAGTTATATTCAAACAAGTTGTATGGTGGATGGACTTCCTCTCAACGAAATAAGGTCATTTTTAAAGATATAAATTACATACCCCTGAGGCACGGGAAATAATGGTTACGGCTAATAGTCATTGAGCTTTAACTCCTTTTTTTACCTGTTAAAAGAAGATTTTCTTATTTGCTATTCAATGCTGGATGAAAAACTAAAAAAAGGTTCAAGGTATCAATTAAGTTAAAACTAACCAAAGTATATTTGAGACAAACATTCACTCCTGTATGCCGAGTCCATTGATGCCTGATCCAATCAGGGTTCAGTCATGTTTTTGGTGTCTATTCTGAACCAATAGAAATTGCATGGCGGTAACATCTATCTTTCTATCTATCTCATTATCCAATTAGAGATAAATCCTTATATCGGTGCTATAACAGTAAATGGAAGTATTTACTTCGACTCAAACTAAAAAATTGGTTCAAAATGAATAAAACTTGAAAGTAAGGTGTGTTAAACTTGAAATGACAAGATAAAGTCTAAAATAAGAGGACACTTTTTTCTTTTATTGACTTTCGCATATTTGACTAAATGATTTTGACTTTACAAGGTTCGCACTATGCACTTTGATAAATTTGTATTTTTATTTTTTAAAGTTTTGTATATTTATTTTTTAAAGTTTCGTCCTGCTCCTTCTTAATGTCAAATAGCATAAGATTTACAATACTGGAACAAATTGTTGCTATTCCATGAATTTGAATATATTGAAGTTGTGTCAAGAAATTTCAGAGTTTGACTTTCATTATCAAACTTAGGATTCGACTGTTTATAACAACTTGGAATAATGAAATTCAAGATGTATATATTTGTCTTCAATCTTTATTCTAAATTCAAAATCCTATCAAATTAAAGGGTTTACTTTTTATTAAGTAATCTTTTACTCCATTTGCTCTTTTTTTTGAAGGATTTTAATCAGCAATTTCCGTGCATTTTAAATAAAAAACTAAATATATGATTAGTAAGTTTAAATACAACAGGCGTATCCAAGAGTTTTTTTTCTTGCATATCTGGTTGTAATTCGTGTAAAAGGCTTTTGGTATATTCCTAGAGAACGATTTTTGGACCCCCCCCCGGAGCCCCACCCCCTCCTATCAATTTTGTACATGGGTCTGACAGGAAGTTTCTTAACTTAACCGAAGCCGTGGCCGCAGCGCTCGGCCCCCTAGCCCATCATAGTCGCAGCGCTCGGCCCAGAAAGTGTCTTAACTAACATAACCCGTGGCCGCAGCGCTCGGCCCCCTAGCCCATCATAGCCGCAGCGCTCGGCCCAGAAAGTATCTTAACCTAACCTAAATAACAAAAAAATAAATAATAATAAATTTGCTGAAAAATAAATGGTCATGTACAAAATTGATAGGAGGGGGGGGGGTCCACAAATCGTCCACCAGGACAGACCCAGGCTTTTCAATATCTTGCTTCATTTTAAATGACCAAAGGAATAAAAACTTTGCCACAAACTTTGATTTTCTAATCCCTACATCATTGGAACCCATTGTCGAAGACCTTAGATATTTCTGCCTATGAAGTATGATAATCTAACTTTGAAATAGAGGTTTAAACCTATAGCGTTTAAAGATATACGGAATAGAAAACTTGAGATTGTGGCAAAGACTTAACTCCTTTGTATATATCCAACCGCACTGCAATATAAATTGAAACAATTAAAATTCACCCAGTATAAAAGCTCATAGAGTGTGGAATATGAAGACAACATGACAGCAAACTTATGTGTTTTTGATCTTGTTTTAAAGCAAATAGAGCTTCATACCTTAAAGGAGTGCTCACGAAAAATGAAAGAGCGTATAGGCTTACGGCGAAAAAAAATCGCTTTTGATCGTTACTAATCTTACTTCTATCTGTTGCATATAAGAGCATCGAAAGCAGGGACACCTGGCGGACAAACTAATTGGCGTTTAAGTGCATTGTATATAAAACAAATACAAAATATTATGAAAAATTGACTGTATATGAATGCGTCGAAAAATAATCGATGACTGGTTTTAATAACTAAATGATTAGTTTGATATTAAATAGATTTTTATGATTCGAGTTGTATGTTGCAGCTTTCTCAATTTGTATGAACTCTACGTTCTGTTGTATAAGTCGTTTTTAACAATTTTCTCCTTACAGACACAATAGATAGAAGTAAACAACAGTCGTCTTTTTATTCCACAATTGAATTGTAAACACAGTCGATGAATTCTTTTTGAATTTCAATTTTTTCTCTTGTTCCAGACTGTTATCTGAGAAAGCCTCATCCCCCTCTGATATGCGAGACGAGAAGAACCGAAGGAATTTATTCAAACCTATTTAACATTTCAAGTATCTAATCTAATGACAAACTTAAAAGGACTGTAAGCGCAATTTCAGGTTACCCTCCATGCAAAGATACCAATTCCTGATTTACAAAGGTAGCTTTGCAACCTTACTCTGATAAAAAAATTTGGAAAAAAACAGTCGTTTTTCTGACTCGAAAAGTGTTTATTTCTATGAATCATTGCTTATTATACAAACAAAAAACCGCATGAATGAAAAAAAAACTTGAAGAAAGAAAAACATGGATTTCTAATTCAAACTTGGTCAAACAAATATTTTAAGGGAAGTGTATTAAATCAGGCGTTGTAATCACTTGAAATTACGTTTACATTCCCTTGAAAGGGACAGTAGAACACTTTTAGGTAACCTTCCGTTTAATTCTTGGACATTCCAGATTCACAATACTTTCCTGAAAATTATGGATATATAAATTTTTAATTGCAAATTTTCATGAAAATGATTTGTATGAATGTAAGCATATTTTTTTTTTGTTACTCCAATAACGGTGTAAATGGAATAGTTGAGTCTTTGTCAAAAACTCTGATTTTCTAATCCCTATATTTTTGCAGCCCGATGTCGTGGACCTTAGATATTTTAAACTGTGCATTCTGTAAGATTAAATGTTCTAAGTTTAAAATATAAAAAGTTTACAACATCAAATTGCAAAAATATGTTAAGAAATTTCAGCTTGTGACAAAGACTGAATTCCTTCATAATTGGGCAGTTTTATTTACGTCTGAAGTAGAGATGGACATCGTTTTTTTTGAATGAACAAAATTTCAAAAAATGATCGGTTTTTGAAAACGAACGATAAAAACAAAAACGAACGATTTAATATTGTTCTAACGAACTTAAAAAAAAGATCGTATTTTACTGAATGGATTAATTTTCGAAAAGATTTAGACTTAAATAACGATGGTTTTTTTTTACTGAAAGAACAATTTTTACCAAACTTTTGAAATAGCGAAAGTTATTTGCCACAAGAACAATTTTGTTGGACAACTTTTGAAAATAACGATAGATTTTTAACTGAACGAACGGTTTTATCGCTCAAACGATTTACTGAACAAACGATTTTACTGAACGATTGTTCAGTGAGAAAACGAAACATATTAAAATGACCAATAACTTTGAGAACGAATGATTGCAAATTTTTAAACGATTGAAAAAAAACGAACAAAATGGTTCGTTCATGAACGATGAACAAACGAAATGAAAAAAGCTGAACGCGCCCATCTCTAGTTTGAAGTTTATTAAACCTTTTCTATATGTATTCAACTCATTAAAAAGAAAAACTTATCAACATGTGATAATTTAGATTTGAGAAGGACCAGGGGCCTTAAAAACAATCCCCCCCCCCTCCAACAAGTTAAACTAATTTACCAAACCTTATAACAACTAATCCTTTCCCAGCTTAGTTTATAATTCAGTTCTTAATTTCGCCCTAGACTTCCCATCCTATATTTTAACACCAGTCCTCTAGGCACGTTCCTATATTACAACACAGGTTCCTGGGCACGTTTCTATATTATATCACAAGTCCTTGACACGTTTCTATATTATATCACAAGTCCTTGACACGTTCCTATATTATAGCACCAGTCCTCTAGGCACGTTCCTATATTATAACACAGGATCCTGGGCACGTTTCTATATTATATCACAAGTCCTTGACATGTTCCTATATTATAGCACCAGTCCTCTAGGCACGTTCCTATATTATAACACAGGATCCTGGGCACGGTTCGAAATTATATCACAAGTCCTTGGCTCGTTCCTATATTATAGCATCAGTCCTTGGTACGTTCCTATATAATAACACACGTCCTGGGCACGTTCCTATATTATAACACCAGTCCTGGGCACGTTCCTGTATCATAATACAGTCCTGGGCAAGTTCTTATATTATAAAACCAGACTAACAGGAACAGCCACAGACCAACAGGAACAGCAACAGACTAACAAACACAGCCACAGACTAACAGGCACAGCCACAGACTAACAGGCACAGCCACAGACCAACAGGCACAGCCACAGACTAACAGGAACAGCCACAGACTAACAGGAACAGCCACAGACTAACAGGAACAGCCAAAGACTAACAGGCACATCCTTTTATTCGTCATTTTCGTCAATGATGGCCTAAAGTTGTATTGTTCGTAATTCCTTTCGCTCTTTTTAAAATCATTCCGTTCAAAAACAGCTCTTCTGTTTTTGATTAAGGTTTTTCACGTACAGCCCTACCTACTACACACCTAATATCTCATTTTCTCGTATAGCGTACCTACTACACACCTAATATCTCATTTTCACGTACAACCCTACCTACTACACTCCTAATATCTCATTTTCACGTACAGCCTACCTACTATACACCTAATATCTCATTTTCTCGTACAGCCCTACCTACTACACACCTAATATCTCATTTTCACGTACAGCCCTACCTACTACACACCTAATATCTCATTTTCACGTACAGCCTACCTACTACACTCCTAATATCTCATTTTCACGTACAGCCTACCTACTATACACCTAATATCTCATTTTCTCGTACAGCCCTACCTATTACACACCTAATATCTCATTTTCACGTGTCTAAACTATCCTAAGAAATTTCCAAGTTTGTGTAGATCTGTGTAGTTTTCAAACTAAACTTTATAATTAACACAATGACAGAGGAGGGGGGGGAGGGGTAATTTGGAAATACAAATTAAAAAGAAATTTGATTAAAGGAGCTTTAGTTGTATTGTATTGTATTGTATTGGACCATCCACCATTCATATTTCCGATTCACAACGATACCCTTTACATCTTATTCTAAACAAGGAGGAATGATATATTCAACTCTGGTTTATATGCATATGTTAATTGGGATTTGTGCTACTGGGCGATAAATGCAATTAAATTGAAATAAAATAACACGTTTAAAGATATAAAATCGACGATGTCTCCTTTATTCTAACTCAGATAAAATGTTTTAAATGTACCATTGTTTTTGGTATATGTCTCGATAAAAATGGCTCACCCCCTAAACATGTCCACTTTCCCTTTAGAGCAAAAATATAATTTTGTCTGTCTTTTCAAAGATGATAATTGAAGTAACATTTCATTTAGCTGAGCATTAATGTAATTGTCCATTTATGGAATTATATCTTATTATTTTTCATTGAAGGATGATATGTCTGTCTTTGGTATTTTACTGAATGTATAGGTAAACCAGGTGTAAATCAATTGTTCTAATCATCATTAAACGTTGTTGGTGAAAAAATTGGAAAAATTTAAAACTTTTCTTCTTGATGGTTTGATAATGGCGTATCACAGGGTAGAATTCTGTACCCCTTCTTTTAATCTGCTCAACGCTCTAGAACAGATTGGTTACAGGTAAAAATCTTTTTTGGAGATAATCTTTTTTTTCAAAAAGGGTTACAGGGCGCTGCAGTGCATCATTCTTTCTAAATTTTAAGCTGTATATATTTTTTCATTTATTGTAAAAAACGACTGCACAGCTTTTCTTTTTTTATTTTTAAAACAACAAAATTTTGTTCAGAAGGCCATCCTTGATTTTGGCAATAAAAAACCTTCCCTGAGGCCACGTAAAACGTAGCCTGATCAGTTTAGCTGTTTTACGCCTCACTGTGATCTTGCTAGGATACTTTTACGTGTTAGGTCGATTCTACACTGGGTAGCCTGACTGTAAAGTAGCACTCAATGCATATAATTATACAGTACGCACACACTAGACAGACTGCTCATACACTCTATACCTGGATAGGCTGAGCAGGCCTATAGTGTCCCGCCTCGCCATGCTACAGTTCCATGTAATGTGTTTTGACTGACATCTAACGGCCACTTGTTGCATTTCAGGGGTTAAGTTTTACAATTTTTAAAGAAATACTCCAATTTTAAACATAAAACATAACGTTTATGAATATTGTCTATTTTTAAAGATTTTGCATTTCCTCTTCAAAGAATCCATAAATATCCCTGAATACAGATGTCTCCTGATTGGTCGTGTACAGTACTTGTACACAATAGAACATGCTGTGGAAAATATCGCATATTATATGTGTTAATCGATCTCTGTAACTTTCTTATCTCTGACAGTACGTGTATAGTACCGGCATGGATTATGTACCGTTTAGACTGGGTGTTCTATTGGACTCAATTTGAATCAACATACAAGGCATATTTTTAACTATAGCAATTTTCTTCAGGGTTGTAACAAGTGGTGCATTTGTAACAGGAACTAAAAAATTTGACACAAAAGGTGAGATTTAAACTAATGTTTAAGGGACTGTACGCGTAATTTCAAGTGACCCTCCATGCAAAGATGACAATGCCCGATTAACAATAGTACACACAAAACCTGTGTGTGTGTGTTTTTGTTGAGTACAAAGACACTTGAGTGTAAAACTATTGAAACCCGCTTGTATTCGACATTTTGTTGAGTTCATATTGTACAGTGTACACAACGCACACCTGGAACATATATCTCACAAAGGTTTAAGGGTACTATTGTAAATCTGGCATTGCCCTCTCTGCATGGCACTGTAAAGTCTGGTTCGTTACAGATCTTGGTCCCAATTTTTAGCCAGTTCAAGCTGTACAATACTGCACTTACAGACAAACTGCAGGACAGTACTTATATGGCATGATCCCCTTCTAGTGAATTTTATGTAATGGAAAGTTACTTGAAATTACCCTACAGTAACTTGAAAGAGAGTATTTAAATAATTTACACTTACACGTGGAGGAACTTTTTATCTAAAAAAAGAATTTGTCAACATATCTAGACATGAAGATACATACTAAAATGAATGTTTCTAGTTTTAAGTAAAAATTTAAAGAAGATAGTCAAAAAACTTAAAAATTCAAAATAAAAATTAAAAATTTTATTAACTCTATCCATACTTTAAAAAAGATATATTGGCTCCTTTTGTTTGACCTTTATTAAAACACTGAAAATAATTCTTTCTACCTCAATATATGTTTGTATTTATCGTCAGAAATGACAATAAAACTTAATAAAACAGATACACGTGCCTTTTTTTTCCTTCAAAATAATGAACATAAGTTATTGAATTAATATCTAAAAGCTTGTGGGAAAAAGAGCAAGATGTTATTTCTAAAGTTAGAAATTTACTTTGAAATAGAAGCTAATTGAATTTGTGTTCTTTTTCAACAATGTGAACCAAGTATCATTCTTTATCAGTAAATAGCTACATTTTTCTAAACCCTCCCGAAGAACAAAGGGGGTACAGACTGACATCGAATTGAAGTCGATATCGATCGCTGCTAATTTTACTTAATCTTAGCAATTCGTTCGTTGTGACCCGTCGTTTCTTTTTAAAAAACGATGCGATCGTTTTCAGAAAACAAGGAAAAAAGAAACGAAAATGATAGTTTTTTCGATCTTTTTTTATAATCGATTAACAGCCCTAGGTACACCGCGCAACTGGGGAAAGTGGAGAGCAAATAATTTCTTTAATTTTTAAGAATTGATTGAAAAAATTCAATTATGCTTTCCCCTTGAAAATCAAGTAAACTATTCTTGTTGATAATATAGATTTAAAACTTTAGATTTTGTGTGGACCCTGCACAGGCCTTCGAACGAGATAGAGCAGTAAGCTTCACAGTAGCATTTCTTCCCAGAAATACCACAAGGTAGTTATAATTCATTTTCTTTATAGACATTGTTCACCTCTTTGAAACACGAAATTGAAGGGCCCTAACTTTTGAATTTGAAAATCCTCAAATGACTTAGATGAAATGAACGCTTATATAGAACCTATAGAAATATAACCCTGAATATACATAGAACTTAGAACTATAAATCTGAACCTGTCTAGAACCTAGAACCTTAACTCTGAACCTGTCTATAACCTAGAATCCTAACTCTGAACCTACCTGGAACCTAGAACCTATATCCAAAACCCTGAACCTACCTAGAAACGAAAACTCTAACTCTGAAACTGCCTAGAACATAGGACCCTAACTCTGAACCTACCTGGAACCTAAAAGCTAGAATTCTAACCCTAAACCTATCTAGAACCTAGAACTATAAATCTGAACCTGCCCAGAACCTAGAGCCCTAAATCTGAATCTACCTAGAACCCATAACCCTAGATCTGAACCTACCTAGAACCTAGAACCCTAAATCTGAACCTACCTAGAACCTAGAACTTTAACTTTGAATCTGTTTAGAACCAAGAACCCTGACTTTCAACCTGGATGTTATTTCTTCAGAAAAATCTCTCTGCTTGTAATTATAGATTTAGGTATAATACAGTGAGAGTCATAAAACTGTGCTATTTTTAATGTTACAACTGGTATATTTCTACGAATGTTCAGAGCACTTTTTTCTTATCTAAAATCTAACTTTAATAATTTAGATTTGTTAGTGACACAACGAGGTCTGTGTTAGCTCGACCTAACCGCACAGGTCAAACATTTATAAACTTAAAATTCAAAATCTAAAATTATGTATTACTTTTACTCACCTTTTTCTTTTTTTAAACCCAGCTTTTCAGTGGTCCTTTGGTTCTACAAACATTTTTAAAAAAATGTAAAATTTCGTTGATTTTCATGTTTTTATTTGTAAACTTACAAACATTTTGTGAGGCATGACAACCCGTCCTTAAAAAATATTGGCCCGATCAGTTCAACTGTTTTTACTTTCATTGGATAAAACCTGGAAATTTATAAATAACTCATTAAAATATTTTATTTATATAAACCTATATTTTGTATTTTAAATTTAATCGGTGATTCAAATTTGAACCAGCGGTTGGCAGTTTAAATTCATTAGATTCGGTCTCTTCTACGTATATCTAGCAAGAACGCGATATATTTTTAACCGTCAATGTATTTTTACACATTAGGTCATTGTTTTAATATTTTAGATGAGAGGAGTAGAAACTAGTGCTGACATAAAGGAATTCCAGTTTTTATAATTTCTGGTCATGAATTATTTTTTAAATACCTTTTACATCATTAATCACCCTTTTTGAACATTACAAAATTTTGGACATTTTTATCTAATTAATTTAGTTTTCTGTTTCAATCTTGACTGGGACAAAACATAATTCAATAAAGTTTTTTATTATTAAAAATACTTTACAATAAAACTGAATTTTGAACAGGGTTGGAGTGATATAAACCATAACGACCCCAAAAAACCATTTGGCGGTAGAATGCCTTATGTTTTTGTAAGGAAATTAATTAAACCAATCATTAAAACTTTAAAGTATAATTTTTTGAAAAATTGCTATTTCAGCAAAATAATACCCGTCTTGTAATTATTTTTTAACTTTATTCTTAAATTTTAAGATACAAAATTTCTGAATGTATTTTTTCTACCTTTTGAACTTTTAATCATTCATTTATTTTTGTATTCTGTCAACTTTATTTTTCTATTCATTAAGAACCAGGTCCGATTTACAACTTAAAGGCTTTGTCTGGTCCAATATGAATAATATAGACATATGTTTTTAATTTTAAAAACTGTCTATTTTTAATTGTTGCGTCTGTACAAAAGTGGCGTGTGCAGTAGGAAAACCAAAGAGTAATTATAAGAATTAAACCCTTTTCATGCTAGAACACAACCTTGTCTTTCACTTTATTAACCACAAAAATATATAAAGGGTAACTAACATAGAGAATAGAATATATATTAGAGTGGAATTATCTATAAAAAAGTGTAAAACGGCCATCTTGTTGTACTGTTTCCATACTGCAGGTGTACTTCACATGTTTATGCTATATAACCTTTTGGGCCCTGGAATATCATTTTATAGAAAATCTAAAATTATTGTTAAAAGAAAACCAAATTATAAAATAGGCTGGTTTCATAATTGACCAATGATCATTTTACATAGACTCTATGCCTTCCACTTTACAAACGATGATTTTCCGTTATAACTATAAATCAAATGATTTTTTTATTCACCTAATTCATTATAAAGTTTATTTAACAGCTTTAAAAAATTCGAAATTGTAATGAACAGTCTAGGGAACATACTGTATTAATGTACTCTACTGCATATAATTTGTGAACATTTACATGATTTGTACATTTTGAACTCCCTTTCAGGCTGAAAGGCACTTAAAAAATTCATACCGAGAGATTCTTTAAATTCCCTCTAATATATATATTCTATTCTCTATGGTAACTAACTATATACCTATTTAACTGCAGGGTCATTACAAATTAAGCCTGCAGTACCTTTAATAATGTTTACAATATATATTACAAAATCAATTGAAATGTTGGCGATGAGTTTTGTGAGAGTAAATTTTCAATCTAGAATTTTACATTTTCATCAAGTTTTCATAGTCTAGCTGTTACTAGGGCAGAATAGAGTGCTTCAGAATATATTCAAATTCTAAAAAGAACTTTTTATAAATTTTGAAATCAAAATATATTTCATTATTAAAATGTTGAAATGGAAATTGTTTTGAAATTAAAGGGAAAATTACATAATCAAATCTTTTAATAGTTGGCACTTATAATATTTGAAATAAATTAAAATAAACCGTATCTTTTATGAAATACCCAATTCGAATCTATCATTTTTCTTAACATCCTTCTTCTTAATACAGGGTTATCCACAAAGGATGAGACTTCAGAACCGATTGCACGGAATTTATGCTGTCTCGTATCTTGTATATATGATTCTCTGCAGCTGTAAACTTTTTTCTTTGCTTGCCAAATCATTTAGTAAGATGTTAAATGGCTATTAGGTCAGAAGACTTATTTTAAACTTGGGTTCGTCATGTTTCAAGGATTTCAAGTTGTCTTTACAGTCTCATCCTTTGTGGGTAACCTGAAGTATCTGTTTAAGATTGAAAAAAAAAGAAAGAAAAAAAAAAAGAAAAAAAATAGAAAGATAAATATTTCTATATTTCAAAATTCTAAAGACATGAGTTTAGTCTATGCAAATAATGTTTGTATACATGTTGTTTGGGGAATATAAAAATGCAAAACAACAAAAAGAAAATAAAAATATTCGAATACTTTATATTTCGCATGAAAGGAATAAAGATTAAAATTCATAAATTGTAAAATTTATAATCACTGTGCCAAAAATCCAAAAGTCAGAAACCCTAATAATTAATTTTTAGACAGAAATTCTTGAATATCACATTAATCTTTGATCCATTATTAGAGCTGTTGTTAAAGATGGAGAAGCCCTCGAAATTACACCTACAGTCTTTTAAAGCTTTATTAGAGACCTTTCTACATGAAGATATATAAGATGTATATATATAAAAGATATATATTACTACATGAAGATATATAAAATAGATAAGATGTATTTACATGAATATATATAAGATATAAAAGATGTATATATCTACATGAAGATATATAAGATAAATAAGCTGTATATTTCTACATGAAGATATATAAGATATATAAGCTGTATATTTCTACATGAAGATATATAAGATAAAAGAGATGTATTCAGCTTGATATTCTCGTCTATCTATGAATATAAAATGAAAGTGTGCGAATGGAAAATATATAAGATTGCATGTCCATATACATATATATCTTAACATTCAAATCAAATAAAAGAATAAAGAAGGAAAACTCCAAGTTTTTGCACAACAAACCTTCATCCCAACTTGATGAAACCAAAATGAGAAAATAATGTATATTTTATTGGTTAAATTGTTTACAGGGAGAATAAAATAAAGTGGTGGGTAACTGTACAGGGCCTCAACTATAATGAGGTAAGTTTTTATCAAGCTGGAATCATGATTTTTATTAAGCTGTGATCATGAATTTTTATTAAGCTGGGATCATGAATTTGTATTAAGCTGGGATCATGGATCTTTATTAAAGTGGGATCATGGATTTTTATTAAGCTGGGATCATGGATTTTTATTAAGCTGGGATCATGGATTTTTATTAAGCTGGGATCATGAATTTTTATTAAACTGGGATCATGGATTTTTGTTAAGCTGGTATCATGGATTTTAATAAGCTGGGATCGTGGATTTTTATTAAGCTGGGATCATGTATTTTAATAAGCTGGGATCATGGATTTTTATTAAGCTGGGATCATGGATTTTAATAAGCTGGGATCATGGATTTTAATAAGCTGGGATCATGGATTTTAATACGCTGGGATCATGGATTTTTTTACTTTGTACGAACCCCCATCTAAAATAGTGATTGAGATAAGGGAGTGGGGACCAAATGTTCCCCCTGCTTAGAAAGCCTATAAAGTTTTATTAGAATGATATTTTTATAATATTTTTTAATTGGTTTTAATTCAGATTAATTCTTAATCTAACATAACTCTCAATTGGTCGGACCTATCCTAATCAAATTTTAGGATTAGATAGTAATTATCTAATATTACATTGTTGTTATACTTCACTTTCAATTTTGACTGAAAAAAAAGTGAAAACAATTTATTCCAAAATGTTGCTTTTATACCATCCATTTATTTTCTGTCACAATTGAAAGCACACAAATTATTTCATAGTAAAGTGTTAAAATTTCACGAAAGATTAAAATATCATGTTTTTAATCCTTACTTCTCTTTTTGAGGAGCTATCGGGACAAACAAATTTTGAATCTCTTTCGTAGAACCAGAGAAATTTACTTTCATAGTTAAGATATAAATCAAAACTACAGAAACTATGAAGTCACAAAGTCGTACAAATTATGTCGCATAAATCTAAACTTTTTTTTCTGTCTAGTTAACTGTATTTTTCTAAGGTTCGTCTGCTTGCTGAGAAAGTGAGTGATCAGCCTGAAAGCCATGATGATAAAGAGAAGAAAGTGGAGTTTAGTGTTCCCACGTGGCAGGTAGACACCAGTTGGCGCATTTTTGAGAAAAGCGGGTGGGGGTGCACTGTTACCACGTGACAGGTAGACATCAATTGGTGCATTTTTGTGGAAGTGGGGGGTGGGGGAGTAATGTTCCCACGTAGCAGGTACCAATTGGCACATTTTAAAGGAAAGGGGGGAATAGTGTTCCCACGTGGCAGCTTGGCGCATTTTTGAAGGAAATAGGGGGTTGCACTGAATTACCACATGGTAGGTAGATATTAATCGGTGTTTTTTTGTTGGAAGGGGGGACAGTATTCCCGCGTGGCAGGTAGGTTTCCTGGCGCTTTTTTGAGGATTTTGATGAGGGACGTAAGTGTTCCTAATTGGCAGGCCATCTTAGCGTATTTGAGAGGAAATTATTGTGGGCAGGGTTCACATTTATCAGGACACCCAGCTTGGCGCATTTCAGAGGGAAGTGCGTGCAGGTTTCCATAGTTTCAGGTATCAATAGTTGCACATTTTTGAGAGTTTTAAAGTAGAGGAAGAAAATTTCCACAGGAAAGTAGCAAATGCAAGTCTTATAGATACTCCATGGATTATTAAACCTTACAAAAAACCAATTGATTCTTTAAAATAATAAATCGTATAAATCTTATTATGGTTTTTTTTTGTAAATCGGCATATTTTAGATAAAGAACAATTTTTGAAAATTGAAAATTTAGATTTTGAATGGTTTGGAGATGATGGGATACAGAGTGGTAACCTCCAGTGCAATAATCACTGGTTATTCTAGGTAAATACAAGAATTCTAGGTAAATACAGTATTCAACGTGAATACAGTATTCTAGGTAAATACAGTATTCTAGGAAAATACAGTATTCTTGGTGAATACAATAATCTAGGTAAATACAGTATTCTAGGTAAATACAGTATTCTAGAAGAATACAGTATTCCAGGTAAATACAGTATTCTAGGTAAATACAGTATTCTAGGTACGTACATTGTACTAGGTAAATACAGTATTTTAGGTGAATACAGTATTCCAGGTAAATACAGTATACTAGGTAAATACAGTATTCTAGGTGAATACAGTATTCTAGGTAAATACAGTATTCTAGGTAAATACAAGTATTCTAGGTAATTACAGTATTCTAGGTAAATACAGTATTCTAGTTAAATACAGTATTCTAGGTAAATACAGTATTCCAGGTAAATACAGTATTCTAGGTAAATACAGTATTCTAGGTACGTACATTGTACTAGGTAATACAGTATTCTAGTTAAATACAGTATTCTAGGTAAATACAGTATTCTAGGTGAATACGGTATTCTAGGTAAAAACATTCTACTAGTTAAATACAGTATTCTAGGTAAAAACAGTATTCTAGGTAAATACAGTATTCTAGTTAAATACAGTATTCTAGGTAAATACAGTATTCTAGGTAAATACAGTATTCTAGGTAAATACAGTATTCTAGGTAAATAAAGTATTATAGGTAAATACAGTATTCTAAGTAAATACAGTATTATAGGTAAATACAATATTCTAGGTAAATACATTATTATAGGTAAATACAGTATTCTAGGTAAATACAGTATTATAGGTAAATACAGTATTATAGGTAAATACAATATTCAAGGTGAATACAGTATTCTAGGTAAAGAATTCTAGGTAAATACAGTATTATAGGTAAATACAGTATTATAGGTAAATACAATATACAAGGTGAATACAGTATTCTAGGTAAAGAATCTAGGTAAATACAGTATTATAGGTAAATACAGTATTATAGGTAAATCCAATATTTTAGGTAAATACAGCATTTTTTATCCAACATGGTTGTATGTTGAAAAAGATTTTATTATCGTACACTAGCGCTAGTTGTATACAAATAAACAGACAGATATATATATATATATAAATATATTTCACAAACAAAATATAAGGTTGAACATTGACTAGATAAAGTTTTCGTTTAGAAATTAAAGAAAAATTGCCGAAAAAAAATACCCCAGAATTTTTACATACTGAGTTTAATTTGAACACAAAATCAATAAATCCTTTAAAGGGACCGTTCACTTATTTGTGTAATTTCAGGGTAAACTAAACAGCCTATTCGCTGTTGATTGGTAATAGTCTTACAACTGTGACCGGAGAAAAAGCCGACTTTTCGTTCAGAATTTGAGCGGAAAGAAAGGGTCCCTCTTTATAGACACTATTTGACATTTTTTTCAGTAGCAGCAGCCCAATAAATTTTAAGTTTATCATATTTAAATGTCATTATGTGTTCGTTTGACCTTTGAGTTATCAAGAAATTTACGTTTTTCGTATTAAAACATGTAAAAAGTGTGTACAAAGACGACGTCTCTACGACAATCAATTAATCATTACTCGTATTTTGGTTCGTAGATTTTGTAGACTTTTTTCCCGTATGTGCACAACTTTTCATTTTTCATGCACCGTTCAATTCAGCTTTTTACACAATTTTAAATGCAATAAAATAGTGTTATTTTAGAAATAGAAAGTTAAAAAACAACAAAAATTAAAAAAAAAATGACATTAACAATTAACGATAAGATACTACAGTTTAATTTTATATTCGAAATTTATTTTGATCCACAGTATATTGAAAAAAACGTCAAATAGTGTCTATAGAGAGGGACCGTCCTTTTCCGCTCAAATTCTGAACGAAAAATCGGCTTTTTCTCCGGCCACATTTGTCTTTGAAAAGTAAGACCATTATCAATCAACAGCGAATAGGCTGTTTAGTTTACCCTGAAATTACATTATTATTTTCAGGCATGATACTCGTGAGTTTGTATGGACACTGCATAAGACCCATGATGATTGGGAGAAAAGTTCAAAATGAGCTGAATTGTGATGCAATACAATTGTTGAAAAGTGAATTAATGTAGTTTTAACAATTTTAGTTTGACAAATTTTATTTTTCAAAATTTCTTCAACCATCCGATAAATACGTTAGTTGGCATGCATTTTTTATAACCAAATACGTTTTTTTTATTTTATAACAACAAATATTGTGACTTTCTATGATTATAGTTGTCCTCCCCCCCCCCCTTCCAAACCCTCCCTTGACCCTATAGTGTTCAATCGATCAGCATTTGCTAGATAAATATTTAATATGTTCAAGCTTCACAAACCTTAAAACTATATTTAATTATGGAGTTTGGAAACTTAAATTTCACGCAATATATCAATAATCATTCATCAGCTTTAGAATTTGTCTGAATTTTATCAATCCTAATTTTTTTCATATTCCAAGTTTTATTACAGCTGCCATGTTAATTTAAAACTGTGGACTAGAAAGATAACATGTATTTCATGTTGTTACAAAATTAAAATTTCATATTTGTAGTTTAACAAAATTTAGATGTTTATTTTTATCAACTGAATATTTGTTTAAAACTTGTGTATAAAAAATTACAAAATGAAATTAATTAAATTTTAGTTTAATTTCAATCAATTAATCTTTTGCTTTAATTTGGTTACTAATAAAAGAATTATTGAGCAAAGCAATTAAACTTAAGACTTGGAATAAATCAGAAATTTATCTAAATTTGCCCCATAACACTGAATTTCTTTTCTTTTAATTTGAACAGAGTCTGAAGCTAATAAAGCAACGAATTTATAAACCAAAAAAAATGATGTTTTCTGATTGGTAGAAATAATTATCTTTTTTGGATACACTTTTATGGATTTTCAATCAAAGTATCAAAAGTTCACTAAACATTTTCTCTGTAGCGCTTTTACTAATCTGTATCCTATATATTCATTATTTTTAGCCTCAGTAATTCATAATTGTAGGGTAAGGATATTTTTGAAGACCTTTAAACCTAAGCATAAACGTTTCAGTGTTAATCTATTTTTTTTGAATTTTTACTTTTCTATGTATAATCTTAATGTCTTTATTTTCTTCTTAACATTTTACATTTTTACTTTGAAAGTTATATATGTCTGGACATAGTTTAGTCCTGTAATTTAGTGTTCTTATGTAGAACATTATTTCGTAAAATTAGTTTTTAGTTGAAGTGTGAAATAATGAAACTTTTCTGCCGACGAAAATTTGGTGCAAAGGGATTGAGTTTTTGCCACAAGCTCTGATTTTTCAATCCTGATAAGTTTCGAACCCGATATTTCAAACTATAAATTCTGTTACATTAAATAATATTTAAGGTTCACACCACCTGAGATGGAATTTAAAGAATTTGAGCCGCGGTTTAAATCCGCCAAAACCCGATTTAAATTAAGCGCCGGTTTAAATCTTGAAACATTTGATACAATTTTAAGTGGAACCAAGCATATTTAAACCGCGGCTTACATTTAAACAGCCGTTCAAATTCTTTAAATTCGGCCACAAGTTACTTAAAGATATAGTGATTAGAAAATCAGAGTTTGTGGCAAAGGCTCAATTCCTTTCATGCTTTTGTGTAAATTTGCGAGAAAATAATTCCATTGTAGTCCCGGCTACTTGTTATACAAAGCGTTTTAATGGTGCTAGCTGTTTTAAATCTTTCAATAGAATTATTTTGGGTGCATTTTATTTTTAGTTGTGTATTTTTCCAGTGATATTTTTAACCAGTTTTTCTGACCGAACTTTTATAAAATTATCGACAATAGTTTTATATATTTATTTTTAAATAATTTGTATGGTTTAATTTTAATTTTCTAGTTATTTTTAAAAAATTTCATAATTTTTAGTTTAGTTAATTTATTATTTATATGAATAAAACCTAAAGTAAAGAAGTATACAAAATAACGCTGCATAAAGTAATGAAGGTGTGCTAGTTAAATCTACAATGCTTGTTGAAATGCTATAGTCAATTTTACATTTTTAGCCTTGAAACAGTATTTAATGTTCAAACAAGGGTCGTTTTTCTTCATGCACATTCATGTACAGTTTTCTGGATCTCACTGTAAATTTTTGGAATAACAATTCCTACACAGATGCCCTTGACAAACTTGAACAGTGAACCTGTAAAGTTATAATGCTGCAGATAAAATTGCTTGCCACTTATGATTAAAAGAAATTTAGTTAATAGAAAAGAATACTTTTTTACTCCAAATAAAGGCATCTGCACTGTTAAAGTTTTTTCAAAAAACAAATTTCTCTTTTTTTTTCTAAATACTGTATTTCTTTTGATCAAGTTTCAATCAAAAATATCTGCAATGTTGAAATAAATGTTGTGAAAAAAGTAAGATATAAATTTATAAACTTTGTTTTCTTTTACATCAATGTAATTAATTAAACTAAGGGAATATTTTGTTAACTATTGTCCATACTTCTATATTAATTGTTTCAAATATTTTAGTGTTTACGAAAAAGCTTCCCTTTGTAATATAGATTTATGCTTTTTAACTGAATCAACATAATTTTGAGCATGAAAAGCAATATTTCATTTACTAAAATATAGAATTGTCAAAAATTTATTTTCCAGAATTATGCATTTAAAAAAATAGTATTTCTTGTAAATTTTCAATATGACAGAAACGAGCAGTAAGCTAGTACAAAAGTTTAAATTTAACTTTAAATGTTAATGTTAGCGTTAAGTTGATTTGTTTAACCATTATTAGATGAATTCTTTTAATAGTGAGAAATGTGTAATATTGTTTAATTTAAAAATAGGCTAAAAATACATCAAATATTTATATATATATGTATATGTTAATTGAAATATATTACGAACTTGCTTGTTTTCTTCTATATTTTAAAGCTCTTCGCTTATATATCTTTATAGGCCAGCTAAGCCTGGCCAAACGGCTGAACCGAATAGGCTAATAATTTTTGAGGGAACCCCTGAGTACCCTGGGCTAAAAAAGTATATTAAAGTTTAAAATGAAACTGTTAGAGCAAACATGAGCTGAGGTTATTTTTTTATATTTTTTATCATTTAAGGTTTATAACTTTTAAGAGAATCCAAAAAAGATTTTAAGTTGTTCATCATACCTCAAAAGGTTGCAAAAATTCATAGTTAATGCAAATATGTTTTAAATTGTGCTATGATATGGGTTTGAAAAAATTTAATTATTATGTTTGGGCAGTCTAAAACTGTTTTACAATGCATGATAACAATTCACTTTATAATCAGATTTTTGTGGAGTTTTCATGGTTAGAAATGATGCCCTTCCCTAATCTCCAGCGGATTATTATGTCACAAACATCTGTTTTCTGTTTGATGAAGTATTTTCTATACTAGGGTTTTCAGTATTTTCGGCAGAACATTTAATTTTGGAAATACAAAAGAAAATGGGTACATGCATAAATTTTGCAAATAAAAACAAGAAATGGAATTATTCTGATCTTTGTAGTATTTTTTTTTGATAAATAGAATATTAAATGATTCTTATTAAACTCAAAACATGCTCAAACTTGTAACCTGAAATTCTGATTTCAATGATCAACTCAAAACTTAAATTTCTTGAATTTTAACTGGCAACTCGATACCTTTATTAATCCGAAAATTACCTGTATTCCGGGGAGAACTAGTTCCGCAGTTCTTTTTAATTCTGTTTTTCTCTCGACAAGAGATAAGAAGTGTAGATTAATAGTAGGAGTAGTAAACTAGTAAATTAATCTACAAGGGATGAGAAGTGTAGATTAAGAGTAGTAAACTAGTAAATTAATCTGCAAGAGAGAAGAAGTGTAGATTAAGAGTAGTGAACTAGTAAATTAATCTACAAGGGATGAGAAGTGTAGATTAAAAGTAGTAAACTAGTAAATTAATCTACAAGGGATGAGAAGTGTAGATTAAGAGTAGTAAACTAGTAAATTAATCTGCAAGAGAGAAGAAGAGTAGATTAACAATAGTAAACTAGTAAATTAATCTCTAGGGATAAGAAGTGTAGATTAAGAGTAGTAAACTAGTAAATTAATCTGCAAGGGAGAAGAAGTGTAGATTAAGAGAAGTAATCTAGTAAATTAATATACAAGGGATGAGAAGTGTAGATTAAGAGTAGTAAACTAGTAAATTAATCTACAGGGATGAGAAGTGTAGATTAAGAGTAGTAAACTAGTAAATTAATCTACAAGGGAGAAATTAATCTACTAGAGAGAAGAAGTGTAGATTAAGAGTAGTAAACTCGTAAATTAATCTACAAGGGATAAGAAGTGTAGATTAAGAGAAGTAAACTAGTAAATTTATATACAAGAGAGAAGAAGTGTAGATTAAGAGTAGTAAACTAGTAAATTAATCTACAAGGGAGAAGAAGTGTAATTTAAGAGTAGTAAACTAGTAAATTAATCTACAAGGGATGAGAAGTGTAGATTAAGAGCAGTTAACTAGTAAATTAATCTACGAGGGATAAGAAGTGTAGATTAAGAGTAGTAAACTAGCAAATTAATCTAATAGAGAGAAGAAGTGTAGATTAAGAGTAGTAAACTAGTAAATTAATCTACAAGGGATGAGAAGTGTAGATTAAGAGTAGTAAACTAGTAAGTTAATCTACAACGGTGAAGAAGTGTATATTAAGAGTAGTAAACTAGTAAATTAATCTACAAGAAAAAAGAAGTGTAGATTAAGAGCAGTAAACTAGTAAATTAATCTGCAATTGATGAGAAGTGTAGATTAAAAGCAGTAAACTAGTAAATTAATCTGCAAGGGATGAGAAGTGTAGATTAAGAGTAGTAAACTAGTAATTTAATCTACAAGGGATGAGAAGTGTAGATTAAGAGAAGTAAACTAGTGAATTAATCTACAAGAGAGAAGAAGTGTAGATTAAGAGTAGTAAACTAGTAAATNGGACTGAAAACTATATGGTGGGACCTTACATGATTCCAGGGAAGGTTCATGGATGCTCAGAGTTTTAAAAATGTGTCTCCGACAATTTTACATTTTTGTAAAATTTGAAAGTCAACGAAAACAAACATTAAATACGCAAACTTGTATTGTTTTTTTTATTTATATTGTACAAAGAAAGACGCTCGCAGATAAAGCTTAAAATTCAAATAAATGGTGGAAGCGACGCGCAAAAACATGCAAAAATAAAAATAATAGCTTTCAGTCAATATAATAAATATATGAGAATAATAAAAGGGATGATCTAAGTTGTCTCTTGTTAGCTCCAGAATCCTGTATTTGCTGAGTAAAGAGATTTATGAAAGACACAAGGATAAAAGAATCCTGGGATTTAATCATCATAAAAAATTAAAGATATTGTCTCACCCAGTCCTAGATATCAACCTTAGCTTGTATTGTAAAAAGCTTTATAAATAGAAAAAAAAAATTCATTTTATTTGTAATAATATTACTGATCCGTTCTTAAATATATCAACATCACAGCTAAACGGATAGAATAAGTTGAATAGTTAAAGATATATGTACTGAGGACAAGAAACAAATGTATACGACATTATTACAAAGTATAGCTTACAATGATTTCCT